TTTCCCATGCAATATGATGGTAGTTTGTGGACATTTGGACAATTCATGTTACGCAACTTGACCTCACAAAGCGCAAGCAGGCAAATATCGAGTACAAGTTACAAATTTGAAAGAGATCCTGATGCATTGCGCGAGTGTTTTACTATTTCCTGTACAGATAGTTTGTGCAAATTTTTCCTGTGAATACCTCTTTAGTTTGTGCATTTCGTGCAAAACTCAAAAACTGGGGGTGCTCTCAGGTGCTCCGGTGAAATAAAACAAAAAATTGAAAAAGCTGCGTATTTTAGATGTGGGTTTATCAGTTTAAACACCACTTATCATCCCATCTAAGAAATAATGTTCGGTCATTTCAGAGAGAAAACATACTTTACGTATACATTCGGCCAAAAATGTATTTTTCTTTGTTTTGTTTTCCAAAAGCTTACTGGTGGAGTTTTGTTGGTCTGAGATCAAAATCAAACAAATATTTTAGAAAATCTTCGGAAAATCAAGAAATAAAAAAACTGCATGTCAAAAATAAAAACATTCTTTAAAGATGTGTACTTTTTTTTTGGAAGAATTATTGATAAATAATGAATTTGATGTAAAAAAAATCATGTTAACATGTTTAGAGTATTGATTTTGTTTTTATTTTTGCTTGTTTTCATTCCTCATAGATATTGGTAGAAAAATATCGGAGTCGAATAGCTTCATCATCAGCGGGATCCCAACCCACAATCCTGATCAGAGTTGACTGGCTTCTGGTCACATCATTGCAGATGAACTACCTAGAAAAAACTCAGCGACATAGCCACCCGGAAAATCTTGAAGATGTTTCCTTCATATGTGTAAAAATATGACACGTGTGTTGCCGTGCTGTGGTTTGATAAACATAAATATCATTCTCTACCAAATTGGTTAATTCTGTCGAAAGCAAATTGTGGGTGAAATCCAGAAAAGCATTTCAACTTTCACCAAACTCGGTATTTTGTTTTACCTATTTGAGATGATAAGGTCAACACTTTATAAGAAACTTGACAAATTATAGGCAACTGTAAGTTTACCGATGTTTAAATATCACAAATCCATAAGAAGATACCAATCAAGGTGTAATAACAAAAACTGAGGAAGTCGTATGAACTCCAATACGAGCGAGACTGAGTGTGTCGACAGGGTAAGCGTCTCCTGCTATGCATGCATCAGCTGACATACGAATCGAAACTCTCTCAAAATTTTACAATAGGGAATACGACACAATCGGTATTTACAGATCAGACAACTACCGTGAAAACATGTCACTACTGAGTTCAGACACATACCCAAATCATATCAGTCAACCAATTCGTAATGATGACCGTAAAACTTACGTAGTGTCGATCTCAGTTGTTTTTCCACTCAACTGTATTGGAGCAGTTTTTGTGTCGTTCTAATTAACGTTTTCGTATGTTTATGCATTAACTTGAAATAATGGACAAATTAATTCTAAAACAAGTTGTTGGGATGATACGGGTTATTTTCTTCTCGTATAATTTATCATGGTAGGATACTTAACCCCTAACGGGACGAATTGTGCTTGATTTTCATATGATGAAGACATAATCTTTCGATCAGTTTAATTGAGGTCTGGAGCTGGTATGTCAGTAACTGCTAGTAGTCCTTTGTTAATTTATGTTGATCATTGTCATTGTGCTTAGTTTCTTCTGTTATCTTTTCTAACATCGAACTCGGACTTCTTTTAAACTGAGTTTTCCTGTGTAATTGGTTATTCCACATTGGCTAGAGATATAGGGGAGGGTTGAGATCGCATTTTTGTCCCTGTCCCAAGTAAACGGAAACCTCTAGCCTTTGTTAGTCTTGTGGTTTTTTTTATTTTGGTTCATTTATATGTTTTGGAGTTTAGTGTGGCGTCCATTTTGCTGAACTAGTATACATTATTATTTAGGGGCCAGCTGTAGCCCGCCTCCGGTAGAGGCATTTTCTCACTGCGTTGAAGATCCATTCGTGGCCTTGGACTGTTTTCTTGGATGGGTTGTTGTCCCTTCTACACATTCCCCGTTTCCTTTTCTTATCTTATTCTATCAAACTTCGAGCCATTACTACACCTACTCCTTTTCCACTTCTTAGATTTGTAAATAGTTAATACTTTTTTAATTCGTCGATTTCACAATCGAAACGAATGAAATAATAGATGAAAAAAAGCTATATTTATTTAGCTTCTAAATATCCTCGACTAAAGTATTGTGAACGCACTCTTTCTATTTTCTTATATTTTCATGAGATTCCAATATCAGCAATTTTCATCAACTGTTCTAGATAAACTGAATATAGATTTAAATGTTATAAAAGATACTTTATAGTATTTTTGACATTAGGGGATGATTTTCAACACGCATGCTAAAATTTCAGTGGCATATCTTCCATTGGGGCAGTGAGTAAATAATAATGATTCAAACGTGAAGCTCTGTGAAACAGACACGAAGATGCTTGATTGTTTTTATTTTGTTTGTTTGTTGGGTGTGTCTTTCACTATATATGATAGGTGATTTTCTATGGGAGCCAAATGTTCTTCTTTTCTCACGGACGTTTCTTTATTCATATTTCACTTCTCAAGAAGAAGGCCTTTAATTTCATGTTTTTCTATACAGAAAGTGTACTCTCATTGCAAAATAACTAAAAAAAAGTCTGTTAACAATGTTGATTGCATCTATTCTATTGAACGTAAAATAAACGATTTGAAGTGTTGGAGTATCGTAATCTTTAATTATTGTTAACACTTGCATATATATGGTGTATATATCACCCAGTTGATAGATCTTCCGGGGCTTTCGTTTCTTATCATGATCCAAATAAAAGATAGTCTCCGTCATCTTTCATCAGAAACGCTCAAAACCAAACATTTGGAAGCTGCAATGAACCTGATGAAACAATGGTTTGTAATGGAAAGGATGAAGTCGTCATTTTGAAAATTGCTGACATCATCATGACTTCATTGACCGTTTCAGAACATTTGTGTCACAGATGGCCGAGGACAAGTTCAAAATTGTTTATCCACACTGTAATTCTGTCTTCCTATCCTAATTTATAGCATGACCGAATGCAATTTATCATCAGATGTTTACTTGAGCTACGCGTTGGATGTCACTACTGGAATAGGAACTGCTGACTCCTCCAGCTCACCTCCCGATGTTAAGTGGAGTTCGTGTTGCTCAATCATTTTTTTGCTAGTATTTATTTGGCTGCTGTTTGTCATTTTTTCTTTGACTTGTGGTTATTATATGCACGCTATGTATTTTTTTTAGACAGGTACATTTATTTGTATATAGATAACCTCAAAATAGTGTAAAAATATGGTCACCTGGCCTCAACTTTGCCTGAGGGTATTGTACTCTTAGTATGCCACAAAATATGAATAGAAAGTTATTGATCCAAAAAATACTCATCAATGATACCAGGCTTATAATTTCGTGTAGACGAAACGCGCGTCTAGCGTACAAAATTTTAATCCTGCTATCTATAATGAGTTTATTTGTACGCCAGACGCGAGTTTCGTCCACAAAAGATTCATCAGTGACGCCCGATTAAAAAAATTAAAGGCCAAATAAAGTACGAAGTTTAAAAGCATTGAGGACCCAAAATTCCAAAAGATTTGCCAAATACAGCTAGATGGAATCAATTCGTGGGAGTAGAAAATCCTTAATATTTCGAAAAATGCAAAGTTTTGCAAACAGTAAATTTGTAACTATGACCATATCATTGTTAATTCATGTCTTTACTACTGGGCTGGTGATGCCCTCGGAGAGGAACCCTCCACCAGGATTGGCATCGACCCGGTGGTTGTAAATAATCTCATGAATGATACCAGGCTTTCAATTTTGTACGCCAGACACGCGTTTCGTCTACAGATAGACTCATCAGTGACGCTCGATCAAAAAAGTTAGAGGTCAACATTGAAGATCGGGAAAATCTTGAAATTACCCGGTATTTTTTTTTTTCTCTCTTCGAAACACAACTAAAGTGAAATGTGTGATATATGGGAGAGAAATTTATTACATTTATTACTCTTTCTGAAGCACATTATCTGGATAGTGTTTTTCTTTGCAAAAAAAAGTATAAAAAAGATACCGAATTCCAAGGCAAATTCAAAAAGGGGATGTCCATAAAAACTGACAAAATCAAACGCTATCAAGCAACGGAACATGTGAAAAACTCCTGCCAGATTCCCGACTTGGTACAGATATACTTACTTTCTTGGTATAACTTTGTGTTATACAATCTTCAAGTTTTCTTATGTTTTTCTTATGTTTTACTTCTATGTTTCTTTCTTTTGGTCATGATGTTTGTTTAGGAATAGATAACCTTAGCTGTATTTGGCAAGACCTTTGGGAATTTTTTATCCTCAATGTCACTGATGAGTCTTTTATCTTAATTAAGTATCATCTTAATTACGTGCTATAGTGTTCTTTTATTTGTTTTTGTCAATTATTTACTTTACTGTTTAGTCCATTTTTGGTAATAACCTCTTGGAGTGGCTCGGTACTTATACATCCCGCCATTGTGTTATTGTGTTTTTCTTTGTTGATATATTTCTTTGTGATATATTTGTTTGTTTTTATAGTGATTAAGATAATAACACAATGTTGACTGCTGTACCCCTATTTTTGACATTTTTACCTTTTATGTACCTTCACACATTGTTGTCCATATAATGGAATTTTATGCGACTGTCTTACAAGTGAGAGGTTTAGCTAGCTATAAAACCAGGTTTAATCCACCATTTTCTACATAAGGAAATGCCTGTACCAAGTCAGAAATATGACAGTTTTTTCCATTCGATTGATGTGTTTGAGCTTTTAATTTATGCCATTTGATAAGGGAATTTCCGTTTTGAAAATTCCTTGGAGTTCGGTATTTTTGTTATTTTACTTTTTTTTCAGACGAAACGTGCATCTGACCTACACAAGTATAAGCCTGGTATTATTTATGAGTTTGTTTAGCACTTGTAAAAAAAATTCAAAACTGTAAAGGTCCAACACACTCTTTATTTGGTAAGTTATAAAGGCATTTAAACAATATGAAATAAAGTCTTTCTGCTAAATTTATTTTCTTAACAAACAATAAATATCGCTATCAAAACAAGCTTCTATGTTGTGAAGATATGCAGGCAAACAAATATAATGTACTAGAGTATTAAAAAGCATGAATTCTATTATTTTATTTTGAGATAAAGACAAATGGATGAAAATCAATCCAAATTTGTTTGTTTACAAATAGTTTAAGTGTCGTACAATGATTGTATATCACTCTTGTATTCATATCATTAATAAAAACGTACATTGCTTCTTGTCTCAAATAAAATACCAAAAATTTTTCCAATAATTCCTTAAATGTTCTGAATGGATTTAAAATGAACTCGAGAGATGAACAATTTCATAAGTTAAAAGTTTTAGTTTCGTGGTAGGTATTAGATTCTTAGAATAATGACAAGAAATTAACTTGACTAAATGTTAGAAATGAAAAACTATATTTTTATCAATATATTTTGTTGGTACAAACTTTTAATATCACTATTTTTATGTGATGCGCAGTAATTTAGCAGCCGGTTTTTGTTGTGTGTTGCATCGAGTGTATACGTTGTTGAAATTTGTTTCTAGAAATCAAAATTTGGGAAACACTGGAATTTCCCCCATGAGTTATAAAACGTAAAAATGTTTTGTAAACATGCCAACTTATTCCATGTTATAGAAAAATCAAATTGTACGTGTTTTCAATTTTTTTTTCTCTTGGGCTGATTATTTGGTAGTATGTTCTGATTTTTCGTTTATTCATGATTGAATTATCTCCGTTTGTCTGTTAACTACATAAATGATTATATTATATGTTTCAGAAAAAATATTTGTTTCTTTTTTTCAATTTTTTTAGTCATTGAAACTTTCTAAAATAGTAATGTTTGTCTGAAATGAAAGGTGAAATTACATAAAAAGTTTATCCTTTCAAGGCCTGAATTTAAGTGGAAGACTCTTAGTCGCTTGTTAAATTAACAACCCTGATTAAAATTGATTCATTTGAAAATTCAAAGTTGCTTATAACTATTTTTCACATTGAAGCAAAACCTAACACTAAAAAAATCTCAAACTATTACACACATTATACAAGAATTACAATATTATGTAAATATAACACAGCTCTATCTTTCTGGAATGTTGAACTCAGGTTTATATACATATACCTTCGTCTTTTTATTCAGTTGGTAACCGATTAGAAACTACAAGTACACATGTATATACAAATGTAATTTATGTACTTTATCAACTTGAATAAAAAACTATCATCTAAAATACACCGATTTGAAATAAATGTCTGATCAGATATGAGGTTATATAATATAAAATACATCTAGTACAAGTACACTTATCTTCAAAACTGTTTAACATTCTTTTACACCTATGGCTATGAATATGCAATGGAATTTATCTCCGAATTACAAACATATTTCAATTACTGTTTTGAGACAATCGCATTAAGTTGATATATTTGATACAGTACACAACTAACACGGTTACATTGACTTAGATAATGTTTCTGTTGATGTCTGAGGGTTAAATGTGTTCAAATCAAATGGCGAAGAAGCAGCGAATGCCAATTCTAAAGTCTTTTAATTGACCCAGCCGGGAAAAAAACCCACGGCAATCTGGGACAGAACCAACAATCTGCTGGGGATAGAACACACAACCAGCTAGGGGTAGAACCCACGACGAGACCAACAAAGTGGCGTGGGAGTGTAAAAGGATGACTTGTTAACTTATTCCGAATGACAAATGAAGAAATCAAAAACAATAATTAACGTCTTAAGAATTAAGGATCGGTGATACTGAGTAGAAATGAAATATATTCCTAAAATCGCATTACAGTAATCACAACCATTTCAAATATATCACAAATAGATGAGGTTTGTCTACATTCACATGGTTAATAATATAAACAATACACTTGTACACATATAAGTTGTGAAATAACGATTACTTACAATTACGATTATACAATTTATTACCCTAAAATAGTACATATAATGTATTGAAAACGTACCCTTTAAATATTCCTTTCAGACCTTACAATAACAATACATTTTTCCAAATTTTAGACTAAAATATTCATAATTAACAGGTGCAGAGAAGGTATTACTTATGCACTTATGAGATAGAAGGTTGCAAAATTTCCAGTTAATTTACAAAAGACTTAAAGTCTTCTTTCAAAGACAAAAACATAAAAAAATGTGTAAAAAAATATCATTATTTCAAAATATGTCAGTTTAACTTGTGTTTATAACATTTTCTATTCTGTAAACTGGTTACATATAAAGTCGTATATACATTAATGATTATGGAAATCCCGCATATGCAATGCCAGTTGTCTTATAAATAAATATATTAACAAATGTCTAGACCATTATTTACAATATTTTACATGTAACAATAAGCTGCTTTTTGAAGAAACAAGTAATTCAAAACATAATAACAACAACAAATTTCCGATTAATTGGAATGCATCGTACATTTTATTTTGTCATTGTAATTTTATTAAAAGTATACTCGCTTCTATTTCACTATTTCCCTGAACAATTTCAAAAGTCATGACTGTAACTTTGTCTGTTGCATGATTGAAGAACTCATGATTCCATCTTATCTACGTCACGTCATTTCTCTATAGTTAGTGTAAAATGTATTACACGGCACCAAACTTCAATATTCTAATATATTTGACTGATATTCATTAAGTAAAAATAAAAGTACTGTTTTTTGCCAAGAACTCATCAATTTTACTCTTAGTCGGAATACAAACTGTTCTTTCATAACCACTCCCCCTTTCGACAATTGCTCCCTCTGTTGGGCGTTTTGGATCTTTTGGGACGATTCGCACAGAGTCAGGAGACCTCATGGAAGGATCCTCGTCAAAGTAATTGTAAGGAATCAGATAAAATGATAGCTGCGACCCTGCTGCCAAGGTGTTTGGCATGTTCTCTTTGTGCGGTATGTGTTGAGTGCCTAGTGTTATCCAAGCAACAAGATCCTGAAAAAAAAAGTAAAATTAAACAAAGGACAACTAATGTTTTTGTGTACCCTTTTCATTGCAATATGGATGTACACACATTCTCGTTATTATGCATCAATGCTTATAACCTTGTGATATACGCCAAAAGCTGACAACTCGTATTTACACGGTTGAACATTGTAAACAAATGAAAGAATTGATAATTGATCGAGTAATATTTTCAATTCAATGTAAATTTAAAATCTTCTAAGTGAAAACATAAATGTAAAAGATCAATTTTTAAATATAGATACCATTTTTACTTTGAACAAAGAGCAAAATCCGTACAATCACAGGTCACTTGATTGATATAACAATTAACATTTAGGTACACAATTTATAGATTTACTACAATACTTTGTTTGAATGCTGATTATGGATTAGATTTTTCATATCGTTGTATTTTCAACATTTATAATATTTTCTTAGACTATAATTCTTAATTTGATGCGGATTACTTAGCGTCATTAGAATCTTGAAAAGTTGTTGAACAAAAAATACCTGATATTGAATTTAATTTGATGGGCCGTATTTGCTTTTATAACTTGTTTCTCTTTCTCTCGTGCTTATCAGTTTCATGCCAGCCGCAGAATAGAAGCTTAATAGTATCTAAAATAATGGAAAACAAAATACCTCGTCAATGATATTTTCGTTATCCTCCGAATAGTTTTTAAAGTTGACCACTGGATCATTTGCATCCCACATTGCAAATATTGAACTGCTAGTGTCCTCTTCATCTTTCCTCTTCGTAACAGTGACTTGATGTCTAGACCATGAAATAGATTTCGCAAACCCGTAATTAGACGGCAGCTGCATTTTTGAAATTCCACTTAATTTAATTCTATAAGATCTCGATAGGCCTTCTTCTGTTGATTTGTTATGATTAGAAATCAAGAGATATTTAGGGGTTTCAAAGTTATATGTGTACTGAGCATCTTGTTCAGTGTATCTTGTGTGTTTTTCGTATTTTGATTGATGATGGTCTCTACTGTTCCACGGATCTTGCTTAAACTCTGGTTTGATATCTAGTGTTTCGAATCTATTATCTGTCCCTTTAACATCTAAATCTACTTTAAAATTAAAAAGGTGATTATGCAAGCCAGCTTGTATATGTTTTTGGAGATGACCTCCGTAATGTTCTTCCTCTGCAAAGTAGAAAGATGTACTTAGGTATCCAGTTAATGAAACTTTGGTTTCAACAATTCCATTTTGATGGAAAATGTAGTCAATCACATAATCGTAGTTGATTACTGACATTATTGTGCGGATAACCAGCACCGAGTCTAAAAGGCCACCATAAAAAGCTCCTGACCTTCCATAGGCACGATGTCTTCGTAAAGGCGAGTTGTTGTTATGTTCGAAAATACATACAGAATTTTCGTATGTTCTTTTGCCATTTTCATTTGATGAGTAAAGATAAACGTCAATGAATTTGGCATTATCAGGGCAGTCAGTTCCAGGAAGTAAGCCGCGATGACGTGTTCCAAAAAGTCCGGCGCCATCTGCATAATGAAGCATTCTTGCCGACGGTGTATAACCAGAATATATTACAATAACTTCTTGCAGACTCATTTCATAAACGATCATTTCATTATCAAAAGAAATGTCAAACAATTGAAACCCGTTCGTAGGTGACATTCTATGTCGAATTTTCCAGCTCATGTAGGATACAGTATTTCCCGCAGTGGAAAAGCGACGACCGTCTGGTTCAATCTGAATAGGAGCTCTTCTCTTTAAAGGTGACAATGGAGGTTGTCTTGTATTCAAACTACTATACAAGTTTGTTGCCTCCTCGGGAAATTTTAGTCGCGTTTTGTTTATAATTCCGCACTTGTATTCATCGAGGAAATTGTCTAACGATGGAAACAATTTATTAGCATACCAAATTTGTTCAATGGACCAGTCTGAAGACTGACTGCTTGTCATATCAACTAAGAACTGGAAATCAACGGGATGCAAAGTGAAAAATTCTACGTCATAAGCAAACCAAAACCAGGCTTTTCTTTTCCCCTCTTGTAGATAGCCACTCGAAATAGGTGTCATGGAAAATCTTAAACACTGGTTTCCACAATTTGTTGTAGTGGCATTATAGCTTTCTAATAAAACATGTCTTGCTTCCTTTCCTATTCGAGCTATTACATGTTTATAAATACCCATGAATTCATAAGTTGAAAATGGTCTATAAATGTGTGGAATTCTTGTATGTCTTGACGAAATATTAGAAATACGGCCATATGAAATATTTGGTAAGTCGCCAACAACGTATTCCTCAATCATTGGTGGACTGATATCTCCCCGGAAGATATATACCTTGGCTCTACGGTTGGGCTTACTGCCGTTGTTTTGCAGATACTCCATGACTTCCTTCTTTGGTGGAGAAAGCAGTTCTATTGTATGTATAAAACTACTTTCAATTTTCGTTTCATTTGGCATTGTTAAGCGTAAGCTTTCAATTGAATATAAATATTTAAGTACTAAATCAATCTCCTCGAAGGTTAATTGAGAGAAGACATCATCTTTGTCGTCTAAATTTCTAATATCTATATCTGCAATAATACTCTCTGAATCGGATGATGATCTATGCGAACCTCTCAATACTATAACTAGTAGACTAATATTCATAAGCAGGAAAAATAATGTTGAAACAGCAAATATCAATGATATCCATTTCCATTTTCCATCACTGTCAATTAAACTTTTCATAGTATGGACTGTCTTCTGTAAAACAAAATGAACCTTATATCATTATCATGATTATATTTACTATGTTGGTATGCATACATTTGTTTGCTGTTCTCAGGGTGTGGAATATAAAAAAGAAGAGCCAAGCTGAGAGATCCAATCCGGGAGATTGGATATCCATATTTCCATCCAGAGAACAAAGTAATAAGCTACAAAGGCTATGTAGACGATGTTCTCTAAATGGATAAGTCAAAGTTTGAAGATCACATCTAAATTGTATCATACTGAACTTGAGATTAAGGATACCACAGATAAAGTTTTATGTCTACTTCATATCTTGACCTACAAATATAAATTGACAACGAGAAAAAAGTTTTGCGATAAGATAGATGATATAATTTGACCACTGCGAACTTTCCTTTTCAAGTACAAGCAACATTTTCCAGCAGCACCTGCATATAGAATATATATATATATATATCCCTGATGATACGATATTCCAGGGTTTGCATTTCCTATGATTTCCATGAGAGAGGGTTGTTGCTTACAAGGAAGTTATTAAAGTTGACAACCAAAAACCACAATTTAAATAAAAACGGGCAACATCACGACAACAAAGAAAAATGACGAATAGATAATCAACAGTCCTCAATTCAATACACGGAAAACTAAAGATTGACACCCGTTCTTAATGGTACAGTTGAGATCAAGCAAGTGATGCTTGTTGAAGTCATTTTTTCAAAGGTTTGTTTTAGTCTCTATGATAATGATTATAATGTCTTTCATTATTTATAATTTGAAAAAAAATATTATTCTGTGAATAAAGCATTATACTTCATGCCCGTTCAAGGCTTTGGTCCGTTCATGAAGTTTCCAAATTAGATATGTACTTTGCTCTGAAAAAACTATGGCTGAAGGTTAATTGAAAGAAGTGATTCAGATGCAGCATCATTGGTATTTGTTGCATTAATTTGGCAATTGTTTACAAATCATCAATTTTTGCTGATGTTGATAATAGGTATCAATACTCGTTCCTTTTAAGAGTTGTTAAAACCGATAAAATGTTCAACTAAATATGTCGTAAGATCTTCTTATATATAATATGATTTCGACCAATTAAAGTTTAAAGAAATTCATATTTTTTTTTTTATGAACACCAAGTTATCTTTTGACAGCTTGAATAAAAGCCACATGTTTATTCTTTTTTATTCGAAGTGTTGAAAAGTCTATTTCATTAAATGTATTACTTGTTGTTATTTCACCATTTTAGTTAATTCTATTCTGACTGATTTATTAAAAAACAATTTTCAACTCAGGTTTTATGGAAAACACACATTTATGATTCTGAAAACAACTAAAAAGTATAGGTTTACTTTCATTCTTATAATTAATTAGATAATATTAATTCAGTGTCAGGCAAGATTTTCAAAATTTCATGCTTGGCTATGTCCAAGTTACTGTAACTGGATTAGTCTTTATAATTTGCTGCATTCAAATTTGAAAGGTTCAACTTCATCTAATAATCGAAAAAAATGCATTTTTCTCTTTTATTTCTAAATTATCATTGAATGCATATTCTTTAACTTATAACAGATAATAGATCAATAAGATAATTTCTTTTTCGATTTTAGTTAAAATTCAACATGTTCAAATTGAATGCAAATTCACAAAAATCTGTAACATTATTCAGTTACTATTCTGTTACCCCTAAGTCACATAAAACAGTTTACATTATTAAACTATTGAACCAATGGATGCAAATATACGGAAATAAGTCCTATGCTCACTTTTAAAAAAAAATATTCCGAATCCATAATGTATAATCGACAATAAAACATTTCACTCGGCGATTGTTGATCGAAAACTGTTAACTTACTTTCGGGTTTTGTTGATAAATCGTGACCTTGAGATACAATCAACACAAAAGCATTGAGCACGTGAAAAAGTGATATGATAGAGTGATGATCAGTTTTTTACATTAATTTGTCATAACATTTGTTAAACAATTTGATTATCAAAAATTTCTTTCAGGATCGGTTTATACTATATTTCTTCCGCGTTTTATTACTTTTTTCATCACGGCTTTTCCCTTCGTACTTACGCTGTTGGATTGCCTGATTTCTACCGAAAGATGTCATGGTTAAGGTCGCTGCATACTGAAATATTGTCGGCAAGTTAGAGTACGAGAGACAATAATTCCATAGCAGTACATTTCTGAAGATTTTGATAAAATGAAAGATTTCTTTCAAAAGGATTCTTGGTACACGTGTTGTATAGTAAAACTTAGCCATTCAAGAAAACATATTAGCATATTAATCTTTTTGTTAAATTTTCTTTTAAAAATGTACATGATTAAATAAATATCATTCAGTGATTGGACTAATGTTTACTCTTATGCACAACTTTACGAGTGTGAGACATTTGTCCATTTTTTTTTATTTTTGAAATTATGTATATACATATATATATAATACATGGGCAATTTAAAAAATTGTCGTGGCAAAAATGATCCTGTATGAATATAACATAAAAACGCGTAATGTCTATTGTGATAATTAAAGGAAGTGTTATAGACATGAGAACTTTCATTTAATGCCCCTGAACGAAAACAATTAAAAATCCCAATGTTATACGCTCGGTTCAAGGTTATATTACATAAGTTTTGCAATTAAGTAAGAAACACACCCATGTAATTAGATATATGTAGAAATGTTTATGGGTATCTATTGGTAGATTTGGATCTAATGCAAGATGTTTTACCAGTTTGAACGTTTAATTGTCAAGCTAAATATTACAACTATTATAAATATTGATGTAACACAATTTATTTGTGCCATGAAGCATCGTTATTCTTTAGCTATAACATTACATTTATAAACCATGATTATATTATATAAAATAACCGTCGTTGTCCGAAGTTGTAGGACGTTACCCCACCTCCTCCTCCGCCAACTAATTACTAACTAATATCTTATTAACAGATTGTCCTCGGTGTCCAAGTGACCTAAGTAGTTCATCTGCAGTTATCACTAACCTGTCAACACAAAAGTTGTGAATTTGAACCCCGCTCGTAGCAAGGAGCGCTCGAATCCGATCTTAATTGACTAGAATTGAAGTCGAAGGTCGGTGATTCTGTTCGGGCACTCCAGCTTCCTCCACCAGTAAAAACTTGCGATCATGATATAGCTAATTGGTGCGCATGACAAGTAATAATCAGGTGATAAATCGTATTCTGTAATATTTCAAAAAACGAGGACATTTAAGCGAATTGTTAGGAAATTTTAGTAGAAAAAAATCAGATTTAGCGCGAAAATATAACCCTTTCATCGCCTAATGTTTAACTAATTGGAGTAAAACTCTAATTATCACAGCCAATTTTAGCAATATTTTTCCCTTTTACAATATCGAATAGTATAATGGCAACTTTCAATGTCAAAACAACACAAAATTCAACTGTCAAATTCATTAAAATACAACACAAGAAGTCTAAATGCTTTGCATAATAATACCAATTCGCTCTTTTTAACCATTCGTTTCTGATCTCAATAATTACAACACTGTTCTAGCATGGAATTAATCTTCCAGTGATAGTATATAATTGGATCTACATATATTCCCTGTAAAATATTGGCAATAAAGTTACAGTAAGAACTGTTCCTTCTCTTGGTCTTACTGGGTATAATAGCCTTTTGATATTTTGTCTATCGGATAACGGAATATTTGGCTATGCTTTTTAGGTCCTTTCGCATAGCTCCAAGCACAGGTATTAATTCCTCCTTGGCTTTTAATTTTTTGGTTTCGATCGTACCTGATGGAGGTAAATCCAGAATATAACTTCGGACGTACGGAATATATAACGTGTTTAATCGGTAGTTTTTCGCTAAAATGGGCTTTCGAAAAATAGAAGTGAGCGGATTAGGCTGGAGCTAAGATGGGAAATAAGGTATTCTCTAATATATCCTCTGATTGTTTTTCGCTAAAATGCCCTGCGTCCTTGTAGTTACTGCAAACGGATTGTGTCATCTGTGACACGGATATTCAATAACGGCAAACCAAGTTAAAATGTTCCGTTAATCTTTGTTCAAAAAGATATTTTCAGTTTTACCATAAAAATATCTTTGTGCAAAAGTTTTCTTGTACGCAGCAACACTCTACTAAGGAAGTCAAAATAGGAAACACAAGATAAACTTGGGGATATATAAGATTGTATCTTGTGTGGTTTTTTTTCAAATTTATTTCGTTTTCATCATTCTGCAAAGTTTCAAACCGTTATTGTCATATTAAATTTGATGAAGTTAAATAATAGGCGTAAAGTATCTCATTTTTGTTACTAACAAGTAAAATATCTTATTTGTATTACTTACAAGAAAATGAAAGTTTATTTTCTGCAATGGGTAGAAATTACAATGCTAAAGTCATACATATCTGAGAATGTTAACATTTTATGCCCTGTTGCAAAAACTACACCCAAAAAGCTTATATTCTTTAGCGTATTGATTAGTTATTGTCCGTAAATTGTCAATGACAGTGGTCCATTGGTGACCAACGGACTTGAACTTCTAGAGGTCACAAAATCGCTTCAATCATGTAAGCTAGCTCTAGATACATTTTAAAATACAACATTCTATTGATGCGCTAATTATATGTTAATCGATAGAAGCTCTTTTTATTCTAAAGATAAGAAATAAATAATGTCATCAAGTTCGCATTTCGAACTATCATAAAATGTGTTTTTAGCGATCACATCTATGTTTGATTTATTGAATCATTGTCCTTGAAAGCAGAAAATAAGTGAAAAGAATCATTGTTTAAACAGAAACATGCGTTGAGACAACATGTGGGAAGGTTCCGTCAATTCAGTGCTCATAAAATAAAAAAACAAAACAAAACAAAAGAAGAAGCTGTTCAGATGTCGGTCTAGATGCATGTCTTTCAGTGCATTGCATTTTTTCTCTGTTGGCTAGATGTAGTTTTGTCTAGTCATTTGTTTGTAGACTAAGCAGATGTTTACAATAGTCATTAGTACGTTATGTTTCCCTTTATTTAACAGTTATTTTATATTCAATTAATAGTCTTGGGTAAAATAAAGTTTAAGCCAATTGCTTCAAAATTTGATTTGAATTATTTATAGCCTGGTAGTTGTTTTGGTACAGGTAACAGCTATCAAAAACTGTTTGGGTAATATGATTGACAAATACGTATACCATTATTTATTTTAATACCAATCACACATAGTATAAGCTTGATTGCCATAGGGATCTAGTTTTGTGTATGGTAGTAAGTTTGGATTCAAAGTTTTCAATTGTGTGCTGGCAAATGAGGTACTGAAATGGAAGATGCAAACTAAAAGTCCCCGCTACTATTTTGGAATCCCGAATACGCAATCGCTTCTTAATTATCAAATGTTGAAACTGCCTTCAATGTTAAAACATTTAATTATGATTTAAAATATTTGCTTTGAAAAAAAAACTGGAATTTCATTCATCATAATTTTAATTTTCATGACGATGGACAGACATAGATAAATACATCTCTGATACGGTGGGTGTATTTAGGACAGTCAGCCGATAGGATTCAATTAATGTTCTATTTATGTTTACTTTTATCAGGTTTAACATTTATATTTATTTTAAACTTGTAAACATCAAAAAGTGATTGAGTATTTTTACAGTCTGGAAAAAATAGAGCAATGATTGAAATTCCTGATAGTAATTTAGACTTTTTGTGAATGAATTTGTAAAAGTGTATTTTTTTGGCATAGAACCAACATTATTTTCTCTGTGAGGTTCTTAGGTTCTTTAGTCTTTTATTCTATTTAAATTTAATTGATGTTTAAACGATCATTTATCGTCTGTCAAAACTCCTAGACACGAAACAATTTCCTTCCTAGTCACCAAAGCGTTATTATTTAGATAATTATCTTTTTTGAAATCAAAATTGCTAGATAAGCAGTTCTTGGGAAAGTGTTTAGTTCTAAAAGGTTTTTTGAAAACTCTGGAACCACTTATCTGTAAGTCTTTAAAAGGATTCATAAAAGGGCAGCAGGACTATGATATACTGATCAGTACACAAGACCAACTACTCCTCCAATAGCAAAGACGTACTAAAATTATACAGTAGTTGCTTACTTTAACGTTATTTGGTCTCTGGTGGAGAGTTGTCTCATTGACAATCATACCACACCTTCTTATGTGTATACAACGAACAACAATTCATTGTTCAAATAGACTGACTTAGTACAAGCACACAAAGTAGTGGGGTTAAACCAGTTTTATGTGCGCACAACCCTCCCTCTTTGCCTATTTTCACCATGCGCCGTAAAACTAAAACACATACGCAATGCAGTCACCATGCAGTCACATACGCAATGCGGGCACGTCCACTTGTGTTTGTAGTATTTGTATTTTTATCCATCGGATGAGTTAAGCCTCTTTCAACTGATTTTTATAGTTCGTTCTATTGTTGTACTGTTACACCACTGTCCCAGGTTAGGGGGAGGGTTGTGATCCCGCTAACATGTTTAACCCCGCCACATTCTGTATGTATGTGCCTGTCCCAAGTCAGGAGCCTGTAATTCAGTGGTTGTCGTTTGTTTATGTGTTACATATTTGTTTTTCGTTCATTTTTTGTATATAAATTAGGCCGTTAGTTTTCTCGTTTGAATTGTTTTACATTGTCAGTTCGGGGCCTTTTATAGCTGACTGTGCGGTATGAGCGTTGCCCATTGTTGAAGGCCGTACGGTGACGTATAGTGTTACTTTTCTGTGTCATTTGGTCTCTTGTGGAGAGTTGTCTCATTGGCAATCATACCACATCTTCTTTTTTATAATAACCACCATGATGACCCCTAATTTGAAGAAGGAAATAAAAAACGGCACAAAATTTGGATAACAGGATCAAAATAAGCGCTGCCAACAGTTGTTTGTCGGACATTGCCGCCAAAGAAAAAAAAAGAAATGAACTGTTTGACCATTTTTATGTGCACCGTTTTCGCTTTCGATATATAAAATTGGATTGTTTTGACAGTAAAAATGTTTCACTGTTAAAGACTATAACTAAAGTCTCCATGAACATAGATGAAAACAGGCATGGCAAATTTGAATGGAGTTGCTTCAGTCACAGGGTCAAAATTGAAAAGTTGATGAAACTTAGTGGAATTTGAATACTAAAGGGGTTGAATAATATGCTTAAACGATTTCAAAATTTTAACATCCATCTATACAATTAAAATGTTATACAGTCCTTTAAGTGGCTGTAAACTAAAATATTGAAGAAATGTTTCAAATTTCACATGTTTTGGTAAAATTTTCAAGATTATCCTTAATCAAAATGAATTACTTTGTACATGAAGAAAAGCACCTAGCGTTACTTCGAATAGAACTTTTTTTTGTCAAATATGTCCTTCTTGTTCATTTTCTGGATTAATTACTAGTATAAAAGTTGCAAAAATCTTACGAAATTGCAGTTTTAAGCCTTCGTAAGCAATTATTAAATGGTTGCTTGTTCAAGAATACGACATATTTTTAAACCCCAAAAATGCAGTCATAAATCTTTGATACTATTAATTTTGAAACAGATTGAATGACCCAAAATGAGAAATAACCCCACCAATATCTTGTCCTTATTTATTGGTATTTGACTTAATGCTTATGTGGTTAGGGTATGACTTTCTGATAAAAAAAACCCACTATATATGTACACATTATTTGAAAAACAATTCTAGCTGACAGCAACCAACGACACCCACTTGATTACAGGCTCATTCCGACCCCAACATGTGACAGTGGTATTCATTTATTCAGGTAATAAACGGATTGAAAAAATTAAATGTTGTTTTATCTCAATCTAAAATTTATTGCATAGATCAGACCGTAAGTTTTTTTCATTTAAACTGATTCACATTTGGCATGCAGTGGCGTTTTATAGAAAAACAAGAATGTGTCCATAGTACACGGATGCCCCACTTGCACTATCATTTTCTATGTTCAGTGGGCCGTGAAATTGATGTCAAAACTCTAGTTTGGCATTAAAATTAGAAAGATCATATCATAGGGAACATGTGTACTAAGTTTCAAGTTGATTGGACTTCAACTTCATCAAAAACTACCTTGACCAAAAACTTTAACCTGAAGCGGGACAGACGGACGAACGAACGGACGGACAGACGAACGGACGAACAAACGGACGCACAGACCGAAAAACATAATGCCCCTAGGTGGGGCATAAAAAGAGAGGCTGAAGATACAACAGGATGAATCAAAATGCACAAGTGGAAGAAAGACGAACAAAATAATGGCAAAACACGTAATAAAAAACTAAAGACACGAACACACACCTAAAACTAGGGGTAATCTCATGTTCTAAGGAAGGGTAAGGAGGTCCTGCTCCACATACTGCACCCGTCATGTTACTCATTGTAACTACATATTCGATAAATCCATGTCATTTGGACTGTTGGATAGTTGTCTCATTGGCATACCACATCTCCATGTGTATATCAAGTTATGTAGAGGAAAAGGGGACGGGAGTGGAACTTGCTATACGGTATGGGTTTTGCTCATTGTTGAGAGCTGTGCGGTGACCTGTAATTCGTCTTTTGGTCTATAGTGGATAGTTGTTTCGTTTGCAATCATACCACATCTCCTAATTTTTCATAAAGTTTCAAACTGAAAAAGTCACAAATTTATCTATAATTACATATTAATTTGACTATAAATGCAATTTTTATTCTCTCCATCTATCTTTATTGTTTCTATTTAATTAAAATCAATGTATTATATGTTATTAAAAGCGAATTAACAGTAATTGAAAAAAAAAATGAAAATACATTTTTGTTTATAAAGCATTTTGATATTTTTTCTGAATATTTTTCAATATGTCGTCAAAAAATTTTGGTTTTCCTATTATTTAGATTTAGTTTTATTACATGTTTGTGTGGTTTACATATCATTTTTCAATGATCTTTTTAATTTTAGTTTGAATTTATATTGAAAGATGATTTTGTTGTACAACATGGTTAACCAGATGGATTTTTACAGATTGTATCATGGTTATATTATTAACATTCTTGTGACCCCACCCCAAAGTAGTGAAAAATGATACGTGTGTTTCATTTTTAAATTTGAAATCGAACATCAGTACTTACATTATATGTTTTAAATTTATTGCATGCCATGCTAGGGAATTGCAGGGCGGGGAAAGGGGGATGCTTTAAACTGCTAAAAATCTGGATTATTTTGCTTTTAGAACTAGAAAATTGTTCTATCTGGCCATTTAAGAAAACATTTTGATTGCGTTTTTTACTGACAAACTTGAAGAAATATCTCTATTAATTTTTATATTTACAACATCTTTGAAAATATAAAAAAAGCATTAAAGATTAATCATAGATTATATATAAAGTTACATAAATATAGCACTATTCAAACCGAATATATGTTTGATGTAAATTTTTCTCTCAATAATACCATCTAAATATCCTTAAAAATTAAGGATAAGCACAAAATTTAAAATGTAAACATGTTTAACCCCGCCGCATTTTTGCGCCTGTTCCAAGTCAGGAGCCTCTAGCCTTTGTTAGTCTTGTATTATTTTTGATTTTAGTTTCTTGTGTACAATTTGGAGTTTAGTATGGCGTTCATTATCACTGAACTAGTATATATATTTGTTTAGGGGCCAGCTGAGGACCACCTCTGGGTGCGGGAATTTCTCGCTGCATTGAAGACCTGTTGGTGACCTTCTGCTGTTGTCTGTTCTGTGGTCGGGTTGTTGTCTCTTTAACACATTTCCCATTTCCATTCTCAATTTTATATATAAATTCATTTTTAAATCAAAGATTACATATAAAAGCAAATACATGAATACAGTTTCACCACTAAAAATTTAGGAATAATACTGGAGTTCTATAAATCAAATTTAAGAGAAAAAAACTAATTGATTGATTTTTGCCTGACGTCCGTGTGCATAATCCAGATGAGAACAAATTATAAAACAAGCATATTGAATAAAGAAAGGAAGGAAAAAAAGAGAGAAAGAAAGAACGAAAGGAAGACATCAGGTGGTTTGCTTTAAAGAAATACACGAAGGTTGTTGATTATAGACAAACTTTGTAACGTACAAAATGTTTAGGTTTTTTGTATTTGGAAAATTGGAAACGAGTATGTACTTTTCATAGTAAAGTTTGTTTACAATCAAAACTGTTCTACCGAAAAAAAACCAGTGCAGGAGGTCAAACATGTTGTTTTGTCTACATTCTGTACCATTTATTTATTAAATTAACCCAGTTATCCACATGCCCACTTCATTAATGTCTAAAATCAAACATGTGCTTTAACTAATATGTTACGTAATTTTGTATTCATATTTTTGTTTGTATTGGGAATGTTTAAATTTTTTTGTGATTTTTGTTTGATTTTCTTATCATTGTTGTTATTATTTTTTGTATTTGAAATGAAATAACAATAAAAATAATATAATGAAAATAAAAATAAAATGATAATTGATACAAATAATAAAATCAAATACTTTACATAAAGATCTGAAATATCCCAATAAAATGTAAAATGTGAAAGAAAAAAAATTGACGATATTTTGATAGCGTTTTTTTTTCCCCGCAAAATTGTATTGTTTGGTAAGTAAGTATAAAACAATAGATCTTAAGCGCTCGACAAATTAAAGTTTAAGTCAAGAATTAGATTAACGTCCTAGCTGTCTTCAAGTGACGTAAACTCATTTGTCTTTTCGATCAGTATCACATAATATGCTTACCATTTTCACCGTAGCTGATTCCGTGTCTGTTTCGCTCATTTCTTTATCCCTTGTTTTAATATCAAACAATAATTATTTGAAGTCCAATAATAAACTTTTAACGAATTTATCCTGACTTATCTTAATCATATATTACATATCAATCACTTATGGTCAATAGTTAATTTCTCAGTTTTGAATAATTTTGAATACGTTATTTAACAGTTTCGCGTATTTGTATTTATATCTAATGTTTATCCCACGTGGTATTGTTTTCAATTTTCGTCACTCTGGAAGGGATCGCGATTCGCAAAATACGTCAAAATACGTCAGAAGCGAAAATCAAATCCAAAATGAAAAAAATATCGTGTGATTAAATGATGTTGTGTGATTCATACTTATATCATTTAAAGATTTATAGCTTACTCCAAGACATAACTGCGCACAGTAAAATTTCGACTTTTTAGGCAAATGGCCAACTGACCACAATCATAACACAAGAATATGAATATTCATGATAATACATTCACGTGAGGTAACAGTAATGATTTAACATTTCACGTTTGCCCTTATGATTAATTTATATATGCCAATTCTGGTAGACGTTTGTAAAAGATAATGATAAGATTTATAGAACATTACGGGAATAGTTTCATCCCATTCATACTTGTGGTAAACTTGTGAAAGTGAAAAAGGTGTATTCAAATTAATAATAATCGAGATGACATATTAGCGGGTGGGTAATGTTTTAAATTCTGTGTGGTATTGATAGTGGTCTCTGTGAAAAAGGTTGAAAATGCCAATTTACAACAAAAAAATTTGACTCGTAATATGATTTATATAGCTTTTAACCAGACAGAATGTTTTAAAATTTCATGCCTTGAAGAAAAGCTTTAATAATTTTGAATGGGATAAGTGAGCTTGATAGTCTGCTGTTTTTTTTTAAACTATTAGTACCAAAGTAGAAGACATGAATGCTGAGGAGTGCTTTAAATGAACTCGAACAATGTTGCATTCTTCAGACTTTGATGTTTTACATTTATATATATATCGCAGACAGCAGTGACATAACCACAATTTTAGGTTCCTTCCCATGATGAAAACATTAAATTGCCATAAATGTTATTATTATTCTTCTAATTCCTAGTTCTTTTCAACTGATATTGACCACTAGAGTAATTTTTTTTAATAAAATACCTGTATCATAAGAATAAATATCAAAACCATCATAAGTCAACTTTGATTTCACCGAATGATACTTAATACCTATTATGTACTTACCATAAGAAACACGAGACGGGTGCCACATGTGGAGCAGGATCTTCTTAACCTTCCGGATCACCCGGTTTTTTGTGGGGTTCGTGTTTCTCAGTCTTTAGTTTTTTATGCATTTTTTTGTAGACTGTTTAATTGGTCTTTTCGTCTTTTTAAGTTTTGTTTGCCATGATTTTGACGGTCTTTCTTCGACTTGTCAGTATTGATTTTCCCTTAAGTATCCACCGTCTCTTTTTTTAAATTATCAGCTGTATCTCATGAGTTATGATAGAATCAGTGCAGAAACGGATAATGAACATAAGACCTAAAACTCCCCCGTCGCAGAAAACCTATTTCAACAAAACATGACAACAGCTTGGTACTCAGACTGTAACAATTTATTTTGAAGAACGTCGCACCAAGAGAAAATATTTAGTAAACATGTTATATATAATTCAATGTAGTATACATGCTGCTGCGATCTTTTCCTAAACTCAAACGTAATAAAATTTCAGAAACATTTGTTCCTTTTGACAATTCTTAATTTTTTATTGCCAAATTGATTTTGTTGATAAATTATATAACCGTCTAACTAATGGTGTAGCAATATCAAGAAAAGGTGAAATTCATATGATAATGCGTGGTTGTTCTGTCCATTTGCTTTTGATTTTATGCTGTCCAACTTTTTATGGTTTTGCTTCGAGAACTTTTGTTCTCTACAACACCTGAGAAACATGTGCCATGCGCATTGCAAATCTGTTTCATGTCCATACTATCGTAAACTGGTCTTCATGTTGTTGTCTTATTCTAAACCCTTGGATATTATTTATGACCAGACAAATTTAATCATGTTTCGTTAAATAACGTCTTTACATGCACAACTTGATTTTTGGTTTTACTATCTTAATTGCATATCCGTCCATATCTTAACTATAAAGACATTTTAACCTACTCCATACGTGTTCACTATTTCTGGTTAATAAACTTTACGAAAGCAGTAGCAAATAAAACAGGAGCAGGACAAAAATGACTAAATAAAGACATAGGAGAAAATATATGATCACAGGCCTATCAAGAACACAACGAAAACAACATGGTTTGTTTCATTCCTGGAATTGCAATAAAGGAAGAGAGAATACAAAACATTAATTTTATCCTGCAATCGACCTTTTTACTACACAAATACAAGTTGAACGATATATTAACATGAAACGGTAAACGTATAGTTTATAGTCTTCTTGTACTCCGCTTTAGTTGTGAGCGACAGGTTATTCAAATTACTGTTTACGTCACAGTTCAATTTGGGGTCCTCATCGCGGTCCGCGTTTAAGTCCTTTTGATTTCATTAAAAAAACAAATCCAACGGTTGAGACTTTAAAAAAAATATATACGCTAAAACATAAATA